ACTACAAGAATCTATTGTATTGAGCCAATGAATAATAATTTATATGAACTTCAGAATTACAGTTAAATCCGAAGTCATTATAATGATTTCATATGTTATTAGCTTATAAATAAATAGATCTGAATATCACTTGTCATTAAGCCACAACTCGAGCACAACACATCGTAGCATCTCAATCAAGTCATTTAGACCGAACCAGGCTGTGGCCGTCACTTATAAAATAAATCATTTGTGATTTCGTTTAAAAAAATAAAGATTTGTATGATTTTTAAATGTTAATTACAAATGTTTCTTTACCATTTAACATTCTGTTAAACTTTACTTATTTGAATACAATAAGCTATAACCAAATGATGTGTACATAGCTACATATGCATATTGTTCTATTCATACGATTTTCCCATTCTCTTTTTTGAAGTTAGAACTGATGTCTCAGTTAAATGATCCTAAATAGACAGTTAAAAAATATTTTACAAAGCAGTCAGTCATGTGTTAACCATTTGTTTGTTTTTTCAAATGATATGCTTTTGTAAATATGTAGGACTTATTTAAGAAAAATAGAGTTTTGTGAAGTTGATCCCTTTTTACATACTTTAACAAAGCAGCAGTTCATCATGATATAGATTCATTTATCTCTTGTTCATTAATCATTTACGTCAATATAATGCTAACTTATTAGATATGAACAAATAGGACGTATTGATCTTTGATTTTGAAGAAATAATCCACAATTTTTTGAGTGTTGCCTTATCTAAAATAGATGGTAGAATTGTAAAAATCGTATCGTGTAACTTGAAACCATCGTGCTGTCTGGCACAATTTACTGATATAGCTCATGGAACATTGTTTCATCAAAACTAACCACATGAAAAATAAATCTCTCCTTCATTATTTCAAACTTAATCATCATCATTGTTGTTGAAAGTTTCCTACTTCATATGTTTTATTTTGTCTATATTTTCAATTATTCTTCTCTGGTCCATATTTTGAGCATTTTTTCTTGCCTATTTAATAAAAAAGCTAAAATTAAATTAAAACAAAAAATATATTCATTTTGTAGAATACTTCCCTTTCCTTCATGAAATATATATATATAGACTAAACATAGATTTGGGAGTTTCAATTCTATCTGGTTAATATAACGTAGCACGTCGTCTAGAAAAACAGCTAATGTTCTCTTTAAGTTATATCCCAACAACTCTGCGCTGTAAGGATCATCAAAACCCACATTCTGAGTTTCAGCCAACGCTTGACATACTTTCGGGAGAAATTAATGATATCAGCCCGATATTATACAAGAAATTGATTACCGTTATTTACCACCCAACATTCTCGAACTAGAATAACTAGAAACAAAAATATGTATAGAACTTTTTTTAAATACAGTTTAATCGATTAGCTGGAAAATAAAATCGCTTTTAATTATTTATTTAGTGATCCATTCCAGTGAATCTTCTAATTTAATCCAAGTACATTTAGGAGTTTACACTGACAATGTTTAAGCTCTAGTTTCCACAAAACGAACCTAGCAATCCATATATTTTCTTCATTTGTCGCTGCGAAACTGAAACATGAAAAATTGCTATTTGTACCAACCAAAGAGGAAGACAAGAACAAATTATTGGTAAAACCTTCGTTCATCTTTTCAAAATTATAAAGACATCTTTAACTAAAGACGCTCATCCATATACAGATTTTACTGGCATTTGATCATTGATGAAGTAATATAAACCACTGACATAGTTGGAATACAAGGAGATGTAACACTAAATTATTATGAAACAATAATTATATTTAGTAACTATCACACTGTACTAATCAATACATAAAACTTTCCTAATGTTATTTTACAGTTATCTCTGTACATCCCTCTAACTAACTGATATTCAGTAACTACCGAATTCTTCATTTTTAATATTTTAAAAACATTTGTTTTCACAGTGATTATCTGAATTTAATATTTATTACACATGAATTCTGTTTTTTAATCTAACGTATATTAGATAGAACGTTGTATCAGGAACCTTTATACATTAAAATTTTGCAGTCAGTAATTTCAAAATCACAGTTCTGTATACAAACGACACCAAAAATTTTTATGACTGATAGATCAGAATATAGTCATTACTGTTATGTCTGTCAGTTTTGAGTGTCATTTATATTCAAATTATCTATTTATTCGAACACATAAATATTGGTACAAAGAGGCATCGAATACACATGTGCCATACAAGTCACTCAATTTGTGTGTTGGCTAGGATACTGCCCGAGTGCCAAAACCCAAGCAGGTGGTTTTCTTAGGGGGCCACACCCCAAGCCTTCAACCTGAAGATCTGATCTACAACGCAGTGGAGCATCGTAAGGAAATGAAGTCCCATAGTAGCCTTGACCAACGATTGGTTCATACGTCGTTTGTTCCTTCAGGATACTGGAGCCCATGTGCACCACTGGTTTGTAATCAGGGTTTTCCAACTCCCTTAGGTGGATCCTCCATATCCAATAACCCGGTTAAAGTCACATACATTCGCTTTTCATCCTCTCAATTTCGTAAACAACAGTGGTGCCACTAGAAGGTAGTGAGTAGGACTTTCATGACAGTGGCTGTATATGTGTGACCATGTGAGAGTATCTGGAGAAGGAGAGCTGACTCTCTCCACCCTCGGTTGTACCAGGGCATTTGGAAGCTACATTCAAACAATTAAGTTCAAACCGTATATTTGGATTTTCAAAATTCCATCAGAAAATTTATCGGGAGATAATTATTTTTATTCTACAGTAAACAAAAACGTGTTCAAATGAACTATATCGAATTCCGGAACATTGTAAAAACGTTTCAAGATGATTTTAAATTCATAGTTTTCACTTATAATTACGGCGCCCACAATTTCAGAATATTATCATGATCTAGGTGGTTTGTAGAATTTATTTTGTGGGTGGTCATTATCGCAGATTGAAAGAAATTTATATTCTATTCTTCAATACATTCGCCGTAATGCACGATAATCATTCAGTGGTAGCAGACCATTATCATCATTATGATTTGTTTGGTAATCAGGATTTGTGATCTCATGCTTCTTCGGAAATAAATACCTTAAAAATAACTTTGGGACAACTAAACAGTAAACGTTTTTATATTTGCTGATATAACGAAGAGGAAATCGTCATCACTTCCTTCTAGTTCTCGTATAGAAACAAAATAATATGGTCAGTTATTTAGGATCTACTAATAGATTAATGCACAAACATTATTCATCTTCAAGTTAATTCACACACGAGAAGTATGTTTGCATAACGTATGTTTTAACCATTATACGAATTGAAAAATATACAACAGTTTTTATAAGGTTTTTATAATAATTACTCATAATAACAATAATAATGACAATAAAACAATTACATCAATAACTTTAATCGTGGTAATAAAAATGCTGGTTTATTTCAATAAGAAGCTGTAAAGAAAACAAGTAAAGTACAATAGAAAATATAAATTTAAAAATTGGCAAGAATATAACACAAATCAATAATTTATATAAGACATCGAGTCAAATAAACACATTAAAAGAACATTTCTTTATGAAATGACATCATACATATGATGTAATAATAACAAAACAAAAGGTTATCAATATCATTATTAAAGGATCAAATAAACGTGTGTATTCGAATAATATAATAATCAAGTGTGTTAAATTATTTAATAGTAAAGTATGTAATATTAAACAGTATATATATATATATATATATATATATATATATATATATATATATATATATATATATATATATATATATATATCTTCAATGGATAACAAATAATCAATAATAGTTACCAAGATGATTCGAGAATGATAACGTTAAATAATTAGAATTACACAATAGTTTGTCGATATAAATTTAATTTTCTTTTCAGTAGTTTGAATATATCATTATTTATGCAAAAACCAAAGATGGCATGACATGTACACACACATACACACACAAATCAAAATAGACAATAATATATATATATATAGGGAAAACGTAACCAAGCTGATAAATGCCAAATCATTCCCCATCATAGAGATTGTGTTGTTATTTTCTCTTTCTTCGAAAGAGAAGGTTGTTGTAAAATTGTCTAACTCATTTGAATTTGAAAAATTTATACGAACATTTTAAAGACTGTGAAAAGACCAAAAATAAAAGATAAACAAATAAAAAATAAACACTAGAATAAACAATTATATTCCGTAAATCGTTATGTCGTAAAATAAAAAAAATGGAAAACAAAAAGCTATATATAAGTGATAATTTTCATATTACCTTATTACAGAATTTCTATGGAATAGTTGCTTTTTTAAAAAAAGAGACTAGAGAAGTAAAAGAAAATAACACTAATGACCTTGAGTAAATTTAAATAAACATGTATTACATAATCGTGACCAGTAAACCTAACCTTTATAAGATTTTTAACTTGCTAATTGTAATTTTAAAGTAATATTATTAGTTAGAATAATAATATATCTAAATAGTTGACCCTGATATAAGAAATTATTTATGTAAAAATTCATTAAAATAATAAACCCTTTTGAATATTATTAATACAGAAAGCGGTAGAATATATCAATTAATAATTGAATTCAATTTGTTCTAGCTAAACAGTCTTGTTTAATCAAATGACCCCATCTAATAGTGTCAGTAAGAGCTATAAAATGTATATAAAACCAATAACAATAATAATAACAACAAAACATTTCATTAAAAGATTTACCTAAATTAATACTAGTAATAATGGTTACAAATTAGTTTTAGTTATTTAGAAAATGCAAACCTCCTAAGTAATATATGTATTTGGACATTATAACCATAATTAGTATTTTCATTCTGAAGATAGATCAGCATCAAATGAAAATTCATGTGTGTATGTGTTTGTTATTTTTTACGTATAAATGGTGTATTCAAGTTTGTATTGGAAAGATAAATTAATAAATACGTGCATGATTTTTCATAGATTTATGTATTGATTAGACAAATACAAATGATGCAACACCTCTACCACATGTACATGATCTTTGCGGTATACTAACCATACGAAATCTACCTTGACAATCAGAAGTACGTAGTGCACGCCATCTAGTCTCAATATTTGGCAATCCAGATCCAGTGCATCTGTAACCCAAATCTTCCCTCATATATGTTGGATAACATGTCACACAGATTTGTTGACCTGGTGTAAGTAACGCTGAATGAGTAATCCATGATTCAGAATTCGAATAATTGTCTTCCCAATTTTTGTTCAGACCATTATTTCCAAGTGTACTGTATTGTCTTTCGTGGAGAAATGATCGACGGCTAAAAGTGATTGATTGGCCATTATAACCATTGTGCCGTTTATAACGATTAGGATAATAATAAGGAGGATACAGATCGCGTGACTGTGAAAATTGCCATAACAAATTTTGTGATTGACAAGCCTGGTTTGTATACGTAATCTCATATACTGCACAGTACCTAAAAGTCATTAGAAAATGATTATCATTAAATGAAAACATCAAAACAATATTCACTTTGAGCTGATATTTAGGTTCATTAATTTAAATTTCACAATACAACTGTTACCACTGTATTTCTTGAGAAAAATACAATAAAAATATCATTGTATGGTATTGTATCCTCACAAAGATATTGGTACAAGGAGGCACCAAATACACATCCGCCACACAAATATCATTTGATTTGTGTGAGGGCTGTGATACTGCCCGGATGACCAAACCCAAGCAGGTGGTTTTCTTAGGGGGCCACACCCCAAGCCTTCAACCTGAAGATCTGATCTACAACGCAGTGGAGCATCGTAAGGAAATGAAGTCCCATAGTAGCCTTGACCAACGATTGATTCATACGCCGTTTGTTTCCTCAAGATACTGGAGCCTATGTGCACCATTGGCTTGGAATAATGGTTTCCCAACTACCCTAGGTGGACTCTCTGTGTCCACCAACCCGGTTAAAGCTACGGACATTCAATTTCGTGAAAAACACTCCCGACACGAGAAGGCAGTCAGTAGAACTTTCGTGGCATAGGCTATATACGCGTGGCCATGTGAGAGCATATCGAGAGGGAAAACGGACTCTCCCCGCTCTCGGCCGTACCAGCGCATTTGGGAGGCAATAAAAATATCTATATAACGATTCTGTTTAGAAGTATCGTAATGATAAATTATTTATATAGTGAAATTATTATTGAACTCATTGTGTAACCACCTATACTATTAAATAGGATGTATACTATATATCTTACCTAGGAACTATGAAACCAGTATCACTACATATTTTCATTTAGTGTTTTGCATATATCTTCCATAAATAAGCATATTTTCTACAACTCTCTAGTCATAATGGCGCATTAAATCCATGTGATTTCAATGGTCAACGTTTCCGAAAAAATCGGGTTCGCGTAGAACATAAAAACTTTGTTTTTTTAATAAACGGCAGAGGACTTACAGAATTACATTGTTAGTGAAGCTTTTATAGTACTGGATGTTAAACTAGGCGTGATACGGTAATCTTATCAAAAGTATTTTAGTTGACGTATGATACATAATATACCTGTGGAATCTAGAGTATATCGTTCTTTATACGAGATTTTTAATTGTAACATATGGTAAAATGCAAATAAACTTTTAACACTGTTCAAACTGAAGTTAAATTCTGTGTTTTAAATAATAAAACACATCCCTTACAAACTGATCTTGAATCCGGTGATATAAAAGTAATAACCATACTATCACAAAGTTTCAGAAGATATCGAAATAACTGTTCAGTGTTAACTAGATTTTTATGATGGTTTTTATATCATATATACAATTGGTCATCAGAGTCAGTTTGCCATCTTAGTTCGAAATCATCCAGCCAATATCAGCTCACGATCACAATATCAAATAGTCCTCACAAAACTGTTATTACTATCATTACAATTAATTAACACAATTAATAACAGCGTTTACATTTTAACAGCTTTTATGTTTGTTATGCCACTGACAAGTGATTTCGTAGGTTCCACAGATTATTTAGGAGATTATTTACAACCGAAAAGTAATCAATAATATATCTACTACGTTATACCACTATAATTGAATTCCATTCTCGTTCTCTCTAATATATATATATATATATATATATATATATATATATATATATATATATATATATATATATATATATATATATATATAACCCTGAAATATATTTGTCTATACTATACAGTTTACTGAAAGTATTTCCATTTGATGACATTTTGAAACATTATCTTGTCAGTAATTACTTTTACTTACTACATTTTTTAAAAATATACCTGAATGTTAACAAATAATAATATTGGGAATAATGGCACCATATCATTCTTGTATTCTGTTTTATAACCTTCAAAAGACTTACTTATAAATTAACAATTATTTACTATCTATGTATTAGTCATAGAAATTATCTGTCTAAAATGGTTATTCTTAAAATAAAATAAGAATGTTTCATTATTTATTATCATCACCTATCAACATATCTCATCCTGATATCTTTGAATATCATTGATGTTTCTTTTTCCGATTAATAATTTATGATTATGACCTGTCTAATTGTTGGCATTTCATCTTTTACATAATCAAATATTAATTATCTTGTTGTCATTGAAGTTTAATAATAGAATGCTATTCATTAAAATATTTAAATAAATCAGTTATGGCATTTATTGTTATGGACAGATTATTAGTAGTTAGACATTACATGTGTGTTTCAAAGTCATAAGAATTTCATGTCAGATAGAGTGATCTACTGGGACACTTAAATTAGTGAAACTATTTAATTACTGATCAAATGATTAAGTAAACAAAATCAAGGGGATACGCCTACCTACATATAATCATTAGATTAGTGGTATTTCATAATACAGATGTGTTACTTATTTTTGTCCAGACATTTTACAGAATATAAGATATATATAAACTGATGACATTCGTTTGAGGATTCAGTTTTTCATTACTATGTCCTAGGTTCGAACTCGCTCCATCTAGTTCACTTTTGAAGAGCCAGAATGTATTATTTACTTCTGTATTATTATCTAACTTTAGATCTAATCTACAGATATGTAACTGATCGCTGATTCATATCAACCAACTTTTTACAAATATTCTACCGTTTATTTCATTGTTTGCACATCATGGCACATTGAGAATATTAGAAATTCTAATTGAAATATAGTTTATGAAACCCTAAAATGGCTACCAAATCGGCTGACAGAAAGACTGCATATAGTCTTTTGAAAAACTTTTGAAAAGAGTTCTGAAAGTATTTTTGCTCCACTCTAGAGTAATTTTAATCATTATTGAATAATAAATACTCATTTAAACATTCTGAGGAGTACCAAAAAGTGAGTATAATAAAATGTACTTTGTTATTTTCTTTACTTATGATTATCAAATAAAATACTATTAGAACAACATAAATACTCGTTGAATCAAATGCAATAATCAAGTGATTTCAATTAGTATTTGGTAACTTGAGCAGTCGTGATAACCATTACAACAAATTCTCTAACAATGTAACTTGCCATTTCAATGAAAGAGAACATTGAAAATCTAAAGAACGTCATAATATTACTTACGGATCAGGTTCTGGTTGTTCAGTCTTATTCATTTTTATTAATCTACCAATATAGAGTTTACGTCGAACATCAAAACGCATATCATAACGTCTAGTTAAATCCAATACATCTCCGCGAACGGGTAGTAAATGGGCCACTTCAGCTGTTATAAGGTAAAGGTGTAGAGGAAACAAAAAATTTAATGTCATCCATTAATATCATATATTTAGGTATATCAAACTCAACGTAATTTACTGACCTCAATCTTTGATTTATATAAAGACTAAAACACCAATAAAATACTGAGTTGTTTCACAAAAATTAGGTAAAAGATGGATTTAGAGTGATTTTCAAGTGGAATAAACTTATGCTTCAAAAATGTTGGTGCATACGCGTGATTAAGGCGCTAATTGTTTTAAGGCGACTATTTGTAATTCAGTTACTTGACTACCTACACTGTAACGTAATATAACAACTGTAGATATAAGAGCTAAAACTTCTTGGTTGAAAGTTTTACGAATTTATTGGACAGCCCTGTCAAATATTGTCAATCGAATTCAATAAGTGAAGTTTTGGTGCGGCCTATGGTCAAAATGGCTCGACAATGCGTACACTGTATTGCGATGTCATATGGTTGAGGCTAGTCAATAGGGAATTTTGGATGCAAATTTCACATAATTCGGCACTCGTCAGTAGGACTTACCTGTAATCGCTAGAGAACTGATGTTTCGTTTGTGATTTTAATTCACATTACTCAGTTCTACAGTTTAAAGCGTTACCACTAGGTTATTCGATCCACAACTGACATGCAGCGGATTAAAACATTTACACATAATTAGTCACTTAATGGTGATGAATGGCATGTTAGTCTAGTCTTGATTCTAAACCTGGGCTAATACATCTATCTATAACTCGTTGATTTTCGATAATTCTCCAAATGATCACAGTCTACGATAACTACTACAAGTTCATAAACTATTAGATCCCAATGCGACATTCCAGTTACTCATTGAAATTCTGATGTTTATTTCGAAACTAATCACTATCTTCCTCATAGACACATATAAGAACAAAAAATAACTGTTCATAACTGTTTATAAGTGTTTTTCTTTTGAAGAAAAAAAGATATATTACACTGAATTATTAAAAAACTTTCAATGTTTTTATTGGATCAATACTTCATTACATATAGAATTATGACAAAAATCAATAAACTATAAAATATCAGTTTTATGTATTCTTATATTGAAATCAAACATTATTACATAACCTAAATCATTGTGATTGTTTAAATATTTTGTTGATTTGTTTTATGATTTCTAGTCTTCAATAAAATAAATATTAAACAGACATCCACTGGTATATTGAGATGTTGCATTTTTGTATATTTCAAAAGATTTTAATCATTTAAACTTAGACAAGAAGTTAGTTTTTTAACTTAATTGTATTAATGAACATTGTTCATTATTTTTGTCATTGCTATGTAATCGTTGGTATCATTACTCTAGTATGATGACATGGTAACTGTTATTCTTGAGTTTATGAGTTGGTTGAACAATATTCTAACTGCACATTTTATTGTCTCAGATTTCATTGTTACTTGACTTCAATCAAATAATAATAATAAAGACCGCAGTTGGTATACTATTCTTTTCTTTATCGGTAGTACATAAAATTAACACGACAAAAGTAAGTTGTTTTCAGTCTGGTGGCTAGACAACAGACTACCTGTAATTTATCTAACTGACATCTGTCAAATTATATATATATATATATATATATATTCATGTTACTTAGTTTGTCATTTGTTTGTCCGGTAGTTAGAAGACAATGTCTACTATAATGAGTTACTAAAGATCAGAACTTGATGAAGCTTTAATTCGTTTCTGAACGAATAAACGTCTAATAAATCCTATTCACTTATAATTGAAATGAATAGCATTCACTCATTTTATTTATTATCTGAATACAAATAATTGTTTGCCTCAAATGGATGTTCTTTGGCTGTCGATCAGATGGATGAATCACGATAGCTGTTGAAGAAGGCTAACTGAAGTGTTTTTAATCAAATTAATGACTAATAAAGTTTCAATGGAAGGAAAAGATAAATTTACAGATCTACCGAAAACTATTATCTGCTACTGTGTCATAATAATGACAGTAATTCATAATATCAGGTTATTGAATACATTTGAAGATTTCTTTAAAATAATTATTTGATATTGACTATCGAAGTGATACAAGCCGGTGAAAAGTGATCAACTAACACTCCTTATTGTTAAGAAGGTCTGAAGATAAAATAGATATTCGTCATTCCTCAGATTTCAATAATCCATAATCTTACGCTATTAAGTAATAGAGTAATGTATCTGTCTAGTTAATAGTTGATATTCATGTAAATCTAGCGAAGTTTCAATTTATTTTCATTCATTGAATAAAACAAACAAAGCAGCTTTGACGAAAATTAGATGCCGAATAAAAATTTAAGTTACAGAAAAGACAAACCATTACTAGTTTTAGTAAAATAATCTCTGAAATAAGTAACATGGAGAAATGTTTTATATTGTGTTCGTTATTAACTTATATTCACTACATTCATTATTAGTTTTAATAGTGTTTCTTTCAATAATCAAAATCATCAACAACACTCTAATAAGTGTCATTCATGCTATTTCGTCGGTATATGTACATTTAGTACACTAGATTTTAAAATATGTTGAATAGTTTGCTATATTACTTTCAGTAGTGTTTCCTTAAGTTACCTTTCCCCTTTTTTTTATTCTATAAAGTAATGTACACTGATCCAAAAGGAATATAATGATCTCACCTCTTCATAAAGTCTTATAGAAGCTCGTGTTACAAGAAACTATATAAATACTTTATGTCTCTCTTATTCACTATTAGGTAATATATGATCCCTATCCCTAACAGATGTAGTTTTAGTTTTAAATAGTCCATTGGGACTTCAGATAACAATTTTAGATTAAATGATAATTAAAATCTAACCGAATAAAGCAATTTTCTTCTCAATCATCATGACAACTGATAAAACACATAAAACATACTTGACCTTGACTTGTTTACTTATCACTGTTTTTTTCCTTAAATTGCTTCTTGATAATTTTCAATTCATTTATTTTTTTATTGCTACTTTGAATTTTTATTGTCTAGCTTTAGCAAAAACAAAAAAATATAAAACCCAGTGTAAATTTTGACAACACTAAAAAATCGCCTCCTAATTTTTTTTTCACCTCATTATCACCATTTTTACTTAATGATTCTAGTCTATATAATGCCGTTTGCTGATTCATACAACAACAAAAAATTAATTGAAAATCCAGCTGATCAGTTTGTATTACGAGGTTGTAAAGTAAAAAAAATGGATTGTTAATTGTTGATTATATTTATATATTTGTGAAAAACTACTGTTGGTTTCAAGGTATTATTGTTCAATAATAAATTATTCATCAGTCTACTTAATAACAGTTTGAAACGATATGTAATCCTGTGTGTGTATACTTATTTATGTTATAGGGTTATTATGTATAAATATAAAGAAAATTTTCTTGAATATAAAATCAATTTATACACATGGTCAATTTATCAAATGACAAATAATAAATCTACTCATGAATAGAGTAGATAAATGAATGTAAAAATATAAAGGAATTGTCAAAATAAATACACATACTGATGATTCTAAATTAAATGAAAACTGTACTAAGCATATCGGCATTCTTCCTGCAAATTAACTTTATTTGTTCTTTCTATTTTTCTCTTCTTGTTGTTAATATTATTATTATTACAATTTTATTTCTTCGTATTTATTTTGAAGATGTGTAAATAAAACCATTTTTTAGGTGAATAGTTTTCTATTTCTGGTAACATATAAACGAATCATTTTGTATTATTGAATAAAGGTCAAAAATGATAAATAAGGTATTTCGGTAGTATAATATGAGTCATTGCTTGACCTTGTGTACATACCAGGTTTCTAAATTTTTATTAGCTTTTAAGAAGAGGAGTGTTTCACTTTTACCATATCAATAAACTGTCATGTGGAAAACAATGAAAAGTAGGTATTGAATTAATTTTGTTTGATTAAAAAGAAAGTAACTAAGTAATTGACGGTTTATCATTTTGTTTACTTGAATCGAGTTAATCAATTACACATTAACATTACCTTATATAAGTAAAAGTAAATAACCTACTGTTATTATCAAAGAAATAATTTATTTGGATATAACAAATTATGATGATCAAATCGTGAACATCGAATATATATATATATATATATATATATATATCAAAGTGTTAATTTACCTTTTATATCATAAACATAAGGTACCATCAGCGTTCCAGATCTTCCGAATCTTTTCGATGCACAATTATGTCCAATACATGGTCTTGTTTCATTTAACTCTGGACATGGCTTACCATTATTACTTGGTTTAATTTGAATTTGTCTGTAACGTGTACTAACACTTTGACCACATGTATAGTCACAACTTGTCCAAGGTCCCCATTCACTGACTGTACAATCCACTTCTGTAATCAAATAAAATACAAGATGATGTGTTAGGCATTAAAGATATAATATTTAGTTATGCTAGATGTAACTAGAATTGAGAATTAAACTTGTTACTGTCGGAATATAAAAGTGGAATAGTTAAATTCCACTAAATTGCATTAATGTAGTTCTAAATAGCAAATTTTTAAACGTTATTGACAGTTTTGTCATTAAACAATACAAAACATCTCTAGAGGAAAATTTAAGCATAACTGATGGGACGATTGAACTCCCTGAAAAGTGTCCACAACTATAGAAATACCAATTCCGTAGATATTATTTGAATACTTTACAAAATAAAACTTGAAACCAAATGAAGTGTGTACAGTAATCAAAAGTTTTATCTCTACTGATCTTTATGGACAAACTGTCATAGAAAGCAACTTAAAAATAAGCAGGCTGTTAACAATAATTTAGGTATTTTTAACAACAAAGAATATAAAACAAAACTATTGTAAGCAAAGATATTTAAAAATTCATCTTTATTTTAAAATAGCTCTTAGTTTTTGGTACTTTTAATCACCTTGAAGAAAAATAAATTTTTCAATACACAGTTCAACGTCGTAATGAGGCTTAATACTGTTAAATTATGATTTACCTTATTATAATATATATTTCAATGGTAGAGATCATGAGTTAATTAAATCTAGGCCACCATGGAAAACCTGAAAACATTGGACGGTTGTTTCGTCCGATTGTAAAACTCCTCAGAAGTGCGCATCCACGATCCCAACTCACGAGGTTCGAACACAGGACCTATCAGTCTCACGCGTGAACGATTAACCACTAGACCATTGAACCAGCCAGCATCCAACGGTGTTGATGTCTAGCTTCAACCAATCCACGAAATTGAGCGACACATCCACCATTGTCTTCAGTAAGTTATTATCTCACAACAGACCCGGTTGAACTCCACTGACCGCTTCTTCTTACTAGAACTCCAGGAAATACCTCTTGAAGCCAGTCACTAGCTTCAAGTGACTCATGATCTCAACCATTGAAATTACTATAATATCCACGAAAACCCTTCCGATATGATTTATATGTCTGAATAACACTCTAACAGCTCATAGAATATTTCATCCGATATGTACATAAATTCGTGACGAAATATTGGCTTCGATGTATGAATATAGAAAAATATCATTTCAGAACAATATTATATGAGAAAAATGAATATTTATATAGATTTTCAAACAGTAATTTTATTTAAAATGTTTACAATGGGGACACTCGATATTACTGTGGAAAAATATCATCTAAAATTTAAGATAAACGTAATGGTATCTCATTCACTTTTTGAACTCTGATTTTTCGCAAAAACGAGTGATAATTATTTAATGTGTTATAAGTACAAGTTGTCCGTTATACTGTACATTTTAAAACTACTGTGTTATTATATAGTAGTATAAACCAAATCATAATTGATTATTTAATAGATATGTAATTTAAATCATTTCAAAATGTATGTATTTATTATGGTATAGTTAGAACGTTTAAACGAAATTATTGATTAGCTTGCATTGAAAAAAAGACATAAATAAATATTCCATTTGATATCATTATTTTATTCTATTAAAACATTAGACGGTACGAAGTACTCTCATTATGTATATATATATATATATATATATATATATATATATATATATATATATATATATATATTGATTGGATCTTACACTTACCAATCACAGTGAAACGGAACTAACAAGAATTTTAGATTTTACCAAATTTTCTCCTAGGATTCAATTGTGTAAAGATGTTTCAATATTAAAAATGAATTTTATTGCCAGAAACCTATATCTAAGTTGTTAGGAATAATTTGTTGATAAAAACAAACTTTTGTTTGGGAGCTTAAAATATAAAAGCATTACTATTCTTTACTATTTTGCACAAAATGGGCAACATTATCATCGTTAATTGGTATTGTTTTCAGAGTGATAAAATCGACAATAATACTATAGTGAGATTTTGTTATAATTGTATAGTAGATTCGGTAAACGGTGGGAGTAACTAATGCAAACAACCGGGTAATTTTGTTTATAATCTTTTTAAACTATTTAAGATAATGGGTATGATCAAACATTTTCAATGCAACTCGAAGGTTTGACATTGTCTATAAAATATGTAGCTCAAATCAAAACTTGGTAGTTTAAATCACTGATCTTCCAGCCACTGAGTTTTATACTCCGAACCCTCTACAACTATGGTTTTTATAGTAGTGGGTAGTATCGTTGAATTTAGGATACAACATGAAGTTTCAAATCGACTGAACAAAGTTGTAATTGATTAATGGATGATATTTAACATTACACCATATTTATTATTTAAATCCCTAATAATTTATTTTATGTGATTACTATTGTCGCTAGATTATAGAGCGATTCCACATAGCCCATAAAATATCTGTGTAAAAAGTCTCTCAAAGGTACACGAAATGATTTTATGTGGCAGTGATCTTCATAGTTATATAATATACGCTTGTGGGCCAGGGTAATTTTACATTGGTTTTAAGGAGAACCAGACTCTCACGTGAAAACCCAAACAGTACAGCTCAATCCTGTTTAACAGGGTAGCCGGACACCGTATAGGCTTTAACGCTACAATTTGAATAGTTTAGTGCAACTCTGTGGCGCAACCACACAGGTACCAAACACCCTGGTGGAAGTGATCTTTCTAATCACATCTTGATTTATTTGGGCATACTATAAAAATTTTCTACCATCTCATGAATCATTAACTATTTGAATGAATAAAACCTTTTGAATAAACAAACCAAAATGAAATCATTGTTTATTATTCAACACTTACAAAACACTCTCCATCTGAATAAATTAACATTCACTTCCCCATTATATCATTTATACTTTATAATAGGATACTAGACTATTTCTCATTACGTTTACGCTATTTAAAACCTGTTAAATATTACATATAAAGCATACGATAATTAAATTTACATTTTAAAGTTTATAGAAATAAACTTAAAGTTATTATCTAGTTCTTCATTATTTTGACAATATAATACAAATGCTTTACATCAATTAATTATTTTATAAACATATTATAACCACAAAAAACTACTTTAGTCATTTGGTCATAATGAAATCATAATGTATTAATTTTTTATTATTATTCTATTTAATGATTAGTTTTCAACTAACGACAGTGAAGTACAATAAATTCATGGTGACTAATAATAAGGACAATAATTCTATTTAACAAAATGGTCATATCTTTTCATTTTACCATATTTATTAACTTTTCATAGTACACTTCAATTCTAAATAATAACTAGGAATGTTTGAAGTAGACAAAAATAATTTAATCATTTCACTACATAGTTTCTAAAGTTACAATATCAATAATGTCTAGAAGATATTGATTACATTCATATACAAGAAATAAAATGTCCTAAAATAATATTTTATCTAAATTTGTTGCTTTTTCTCATAACATATTATCTAATCGAAATTCCCCAACATGAAATATATAGAAGTGATAATGGTATCTACATACTGACATGGAAGAAATACAATATTCTTTTTTTTTACACTTAGACCTAAATTTAAACACGTGTCTTTATATTTAACTACAATGAATAAATAAAAAGATTGTATTTGTGTTACTATGTATTTGCATTGTTGTATATTTAACACATACATAATTCAATGATAGCAACAACAACAACAAAAATGTAATTACTTCGTTATTATCATTCTATGATAATATCAAATTATTCAAATGTGCAGCTTAGTTGTATTTATATTACAGGTGTGTTCCATCTGTCGTCTTCTATCTATTTTTTTCCCGTTTTCATTTATACAATGACGAGATTTATACATGAATGACTTACAACAAGGTCAATGATAGAGGGTTATGAGATATCAGCTGATTTAATTTAAGTATAATCCTAATCTTTTACATAACTCGAAACTTATATTACTCTGTTTAATTTGTAGATTATCTGTTTTATAACTTACAAAAACCTATTACATTAGAGAAAGTTTAAAATAATATTTACCAGTAATTTGTATGTATTCCCCTATTATTACTAAGGGAGATATGAAAATTTATTTTTTCGTTTAAACTCGTGAGTCCATTGAAGCTAGACCACAATGGAAAACCTGGGAGCAGTGGACCGCCGTTTCGTACTAGCATGGAACTCTTCAGCAGTGGATTGGTTGAAGTTAGACATTAACACTGTTGGATGCCGGCTCAGTGGTCTAATGATCAAGCGCTCGCGCACGAGACTGATAGGTCCTGGGTTCGGATCTCGTCGAGGACGGGATCGTGGATACGCACTGCTGAAGAGTCTCACAATAGGATGAAACGATCGTCCAGTGCTTCCAGGTTTTCCATGGTAGTCTAGCTCCAATTGACTCATGATTTTAACCAGTGAAATTTCTAAAATCTCCACAAAACCCCTTCTGGCATTTTTTTCTACCATGATAATGAATGACTTTACTTTTTCATTTCCAACTGACTACAATACTTAATGAGATATATACCATTCTATATATCTCATAAATTTGATAATTTAACGTTAAAGTGGAGGAACCACGAACAATGCAAAGAGAAAAAAGCCTTTATTGATACACTCAATTTCATTTATACATGTTTCAATTATAAAGTTGCTATTTGATATTTTTTAAGGTATTGTAATGGTGATCATGGACTATTTGATACTCTCATAACTAAACAGGAAAAAAATGGTCATTAGACTAAACGAGTGTTATTGATAAATAACAAAAAAAATATTGCAGAAAATGAAGAATAGGAAAAGGTGATTATGTTACATAAAAAGGCTGGAGTTATAAATTATTTCATCAATGTTTCAATGAAAATGAAAGCTGAAAAATGTAAACATTTCTTATCTTACTACTTATGATAAATAGATTCCACAAAAATTAGTGAATGAAAAACGCTATGAAATATAAATCTACACAATAACAATGAAATTTAAATTATTGAG